GAGGACTGGCATGTTTAGTCTGGGTAAGGGTAGGCTCTGGGGAGGATCTCCAGGCAACCTTACCATATCTTTAAAGAGACCATCAAGAGGACAGACCAGCTGCTCACAGTGGTGCATGGCAGGAGGATGAGCGATAGTGGATATGAGAGGTTCAGACTGAAAATAAGAAAAACACTTTCACTGTGAGGACAGTGAAGTAATGGAGCAATTGACCAAAAAGACTATGCAATCTCCATAATATATAAGGATGAGCTGTAAATCAGCTGCTGCCACTTAAGAAAAGCAATCTGGCTAATACTGTGATCAGTGTTCTGAAAATTTTCAATGCACAGCCATAGCCAAAAGGTAAGCAGGAATTATTAGGATCATTACAAAATGGAAAACATGTCTAGGTTTTTGGTGATCCCATATCTTCAGTTTTGCACATAATTTTAGATCACATCATCTCAAAGAAGGATAAAGCAGGGTGAAGCATGATGTGGAAAGGATGGTCTGAAGTGTGGAAGCTTTTCCATACAAAGGAAATTTACAGCTTTTTAGTTTGATAAATATGTTATAGAAGACAGATACAAAAGGTCTGTAAAATTATGAATGGCATAAAGATGTTTTAGGATAAATTGTTCGCGGTCTCTCAGAAACATCCTTACATTAGCAATTATATCAGCCGTAATAGATCAGGTGAAACAGTTGGCATTGAGGGCCAGATGTCCACATTTGCATTTTAGGGAACAGGAGCAACTTACTTCCAGTCCCAAAGGCTGAATGCCCTAAGTGGTTGGACCATATTACTGGAGCACTTAAGAGCTCTTGGAGCTCATCTTCTGGTTTAGTTTCACTTGAAATTAAATCAATTTATTTGTTCTAAGACTATGCCACCCAAGGGACACAAAGAGCAGTAAATGGGGACACTATGAGATCTGGTTCAAAAGTATGCATAGGCACATCTAAGGAAAGAAACTCCTATCAATGCCATCTTAATGCATTGTTCTGCGCACAGCTTCCAATGCAGTGAGGTCCCAAGCTGCTGGTTGCTGCAAGGGCACATATGGGAAGGTATCAGTCTGTACTTGCCTTTTTTCTCACAGTTTTTCAGTAGGTCTATCTGTCTGCTCATAATCAGAAAGAAGAGACTGCATCAAAATTACCTTGGTACATCTGATTACCTGAGAACACTTGTTCTTTGGTAATTTAATTTTACATGAACACTTATAATGTAGATGGTTATTATAGCTTGCATATTATTCATTTGGGCACATTTTTAGAGTAAAATTTTCCATCTCCTATCTTATATTCTTTAGCAATAGCAAAATGAGGTCAGTCAATTTATAAAATTGGGAGAATATTTTAAATTGTTTGTAGTTTTATTTTGTACCTCAACAGGAGATTCCAAAAACTGTGGCAGGGACACATACAACAGAGTGCATGTTGATGTTCTAGTGAAAATCATTTTTGATATGCATGCTTCGGTGGGTATAAAAGTGTGATTTGCACACAGCATTGTTTTTGTTATCTAGTAACAGGTTTCTACTAACATTCTGCCAGACTCTGCTGGCACTGTGAATGCAAATTCATGTGACTCAAATAGAAGTTCTTGTACAGAGTATAGCAACACAGGCATGCACAAAAAAGTTAAGTAAAAGATATGCTTTAACAAATATATGCCCGTGTAGAAATTATTTAGGGACTGCGTTCATCAAATAAGATAGTTTCTTCTTAAAAAAGGAATAAATCCAATAGAAGTGATTTAAGGCTCTCTCAGCTCTTATGTTTCATAATTCAACACCTACTCCATGCTGTTTTACAGTTTTTGAGGAACTCTACAGCTCTCAGTTTTATCTGCAGATGGCTAGAATCAGACGCAGAGGCACAGCTTATTTCCACTCTAGCTGGAGAGACACAGACACCTGAAGTTTTTTTTCATGTCAAAATTTATTAAAGATGGTAGTCACAGTATGGATCATAGAGACTGCAGTAACCTTTCTGCATGTTCATACAAGGTTTCTAAATCTGATCCTTGGTTTCAGTATTGTACACAATTTTAATTGGTAACATACTTCAGGGGAAAGAAAGAGTTCTCATTCTTTGTTAGCCTCTGTTAAGTCCTAGAATTCAGTTTACAGAATAGTTTTACTATTTACATTTTCAGCCAAAGCATAATCACTTTACAGATGGCAAAAAAGAGACTATTTCAGCCAGAAATATGAAATCTATTCTATAGAATTCTATAGGCTGTCAACTTTCAGTAGCTTTACTCACACTCAGAGAAGCCACAGGAATTACACCTGGTGTATAGCAAGCATCCTGATTGTATGCCTACCTTTAATACAGCACCAACAACTTTTCTGTGGCTTTCTGTAGCAAGAGCAATTAGAGAATAGTCATTTTTCTATACTGAAACTGCTGTTCTTGAATGTAGACTGATTATATTACAAAGTCTAATCTATGATAAACCGAACGCATGTTTGCTAAAGGTGAGTTGCATAGACATACAAACCAAGGATAAGATTTGTCCAAATCCTCTAGAAGGTGAGGACTATCAAGTCAAAACTAATGCACCTACATGTTTGCACAATTCCCAGAGTTGATCCAAAGCAGCCTCTAGCATTTAAATTAAAAGTAAACACAGATAGCAGGCTTGACTAAGACCTTCCAGAGAGGATAATATACACTAAAATTCATGTGTAAAAGGCAAAGTCAATCATACAGAATTAGTGGTAAAATTTAATGCCATTTGCAAATTAATTGTAAAAGTATAGCCTAAAAACACAAGTCTGGGTTCCTATTTTACAATAATGTTTAAAAAGTGTTAGAAAAGAAATTAAGAAAAATACAGGTTTGAAATGGAGGTAAGTTTTTAAAATAGCATTTTTCACATAAATTACATCTTGGCAGAAAGATATTTAAAAATGAATAGCATTTTTCAGCATTTTATTACTGAATTACTGAAGTTATTTTTCAGTAATCAAAGATACTGTTTAAATTAACATAATTTTAAATTAACGTGATCTAAAGCATAACATAAAGAATAAGGAGGTTCATATCATATTTTGAACAGATCTTTGGCATCTGTAAGCAGATGTTAGCTCATGTACTTGCATAGAATTTTGAGGAATTGTAATCTAAAACTCTTTAAAAGTAAAGCCCTGGATTTTTTCTTTCTAGATTCAGTACAACATATTTGGCTCTGAGGCAAATCTTAGCCCACTTGGAGTCACTGAAAACTATAATAAGACATCACCGCTCTCTTGACTAGCAGAAGATTTCATATATAGTCTCCAAAATAAGATAAATACAGATCTAGAACCTTAGCATTTGTACATGACAGACTGATCCAAATTATCTTTAAAAATTAAAAAAAATGCAATGATATCATGATGTCTAACCATGATAGATTCTCCAAAGGAAGAATTTTTGTGTCTCTGTAGTCCAGTCAAATTTCCAGATAAAGCAGTCCTTAAACAAATCTATGTAATCTAGTTTATCTCTGTAATTTGGAGTCAAAAGCTCTCTGACGAACTATCTTAAAAAAGATACCAAAGAGAGAAAATACTTTTCTTTGGAAGGCATGGAAACAATCGTGCCATGAAAGTTCTGGGCAAAATACTAATTCAGAAAAAAAAATTACTAGGAAATGGTCAATATCCATGACTGAAAAGGAAAAATACTGTAATTCCAGCAAAATTCTGTATTAGGACACTTAAAAAAATATGTTTCTCAATTATCTTGAATAAGTTTTGAGAATGTTAGAATGAAAATTATTGGCATATGAACACCAATTATACATAATTATTTATATTAGTAAAAAACAGAAGGCTGAGGAACTTCAAGGAGGATTAATTAAGATGGACTAGAAGGCAGCATGGTAGTAGATTAAATCCAAGGAGCACATGCTGAGGCGCACTTGTGTGCAGTGGTGCACACTGAAAGGTGTGAACTTCCTACCTACCACTCCAAAAGCCATTGTGTCAGTGCAGAGGAGAAGCATCTGGGCAGCTCAGCAAAGACCTGTTTTCTAAAATGAAAGAATGCTTCATAAAGATCGAGAGTTACCTGAAAATGAAACGAAAATCCAGCCTAGTATGACTCCATTCCCACCTTGTCTTTCAGCAGAATGAGACAGATCATTTACCTTTGCAGCACAGCTCCCAGCCTCCTCCCTGTGCCACAACCTGCAGTCTAATACAGCTGCACAGACGCTCCTCTGACCTCATATCATGACATATGCAAGAACTGTGCTCCTACAGTGCCTCTCTTACTACATAGAGAAGTCAGGGCAGGAATGGAGAGGAAGGACCTTTCTGGTAGGGTGCTGCACTCAGGCCATTCTTGGAGTTGCAAGATTTTTACTTTCTTGAAAGACTGTGTTTGCATCTGCCTATATATTTTAAGGTATTATCAGCCTACAAACAGTAATTTAAAAACTGAATTTTAACCTGGTATGTATCATATAGAGATATGATATTAAGCAAGTAGGATTTATTTAGAAGAGAGTTTTGAAAAAAAATCAAATAGTAGAAATAGGAATTCTAATGTATTTGCACCGTTGAACTATGTGTGTACACCTACAAATGCATCTTGATTATGGAAGAATTCAGATGAGTACATTTAGGGAATCCCAAGATTAATTACTGAAGAGATTAATTACAGTGTATGGAGCCTTTCAGTTCTAGATTAGTGAATCAAATACAGTAGAAGAAGGCACCAAAAGAGAGATGTTCATAGATTTGAATACAATAAGCAGATACCATTACTTTACTATAACAGAGAGTGCCAAATACAAACCAATAAACATATTATTTTCCTGACATGGAAGACAGAGTTACTCTTTAAATCCTTCAAAATCAAGTCCAACTAAGTGAGGAAACCCAGCAGTGGGGTGTCAGATTTCCTGCTTCCATTTGTCCTGTAAGTAACTGGGGGAGGGAAAGTTAGCTTCTTTTTTTTTCCTCAATCTGGTTGCTTTTATAAAGATTTTTATCTCCTAGTCTGTTTTCCAGCAGGTTTTCGAAGACGCTCAGACACTGTAACAAGGAGGCATTTCCCACATGCTGCTCACAGGATGGACTTCATGGATTTTGAGGATGATAGCCGTGGATGGCGGTTTGATATGGACATGGTGATAATCTACATTTATTCAATCAACTGGGTAATAGGATTTATTGTGTTCTGTTTTCTTTGTTATTTCTTTTTCCCTTTTTAGTCTGTAGTAATCACAGTTAAGGAACACAGTAGTCATGAACAACAATAATGTGAACAGAAAAAGCTTGAAGGCACAATGTTTGTTTGTTATTGCATTTTTATCATTCAGAACTGTAATAGACTGCATCAAGCATGCTGTGAGGCTATTTGATACTTCCACTATGTGTGACAAAGTGCTTGAGTTTGATTTCAAATATAATGTTTGCATTATATTTGCATCCAGATCATGCTTCATTCAGTAAGAGTTTTGCCTTGATATTGGTGGGAACAAGATTTACTCCTAATGTATAGAATAATTACTCTGTAGAAATATACAGTACTGTTCGTTCCTAGGGGATTTGTGTGTACTACAACAGAATATGATCCATAGAGTCATTTTGGGGTTCAGCTCTGTGCTGACACACTGCTTACTCATTGGTCCTTCAATTCCTCATACATAAAAGCAATAAAGATGCTTCCCATGTACAGTCAGATCTTTTGTAGCAGGAGCTTATAAGCACTGCAGTGCTGCACCATGCATTATATAGACTGTCATCAGAGCTATTCCAAATCCTGGAAAACTTTGACAATTGATAGACCTGTCAGTACATCTGTGGAGATGTGCTGTACTCAGTGCCTGAAATTGTGAGCCTATTAACCAAAAAGATAAATGATACTGTACAGTGTGCTGACAGTTCTTTTTGGCAAGTGGCAGTCAGAAGGAATCAGCTAACAACCCCAAGTTCTGCACGTTAAAGGGACTGTTTTTGTGCAGATTCCCACAGTAGCACTGTACCTTTTTTACCCATCCAGATGAATGTGTTTGGATCCAGCAAGACAGCTAGTGGAGAGCAAGCAGCAGGTCTGCTGGCTATGATGCTGTGAGACACTAACCCCAGAAAATATTGGAGAAAGAAGCATTCTCCAATGTAAGAAATCAGTATCATTATTAAATTACTGCAACAATTCGAGGGTATTCTCAAGTGTCGGCTCATCAGGAATATGTGTTTCCAGGGAAATCACATAAGAGGATGCAGTATTTTTCTGCACCTTTCACGTGAAACAATTCTAAAGCACTTTATTCTATATATAGATTGCTGAGTTACAGTACCAGACTGCAGCCTGTTCAGCAACGATTCCATTGTTGCTGCTTTACACAGTATTTTCAAATGAAAGTGAAGGAGTGTTTATTTAATTATAAAAAGGCTATATAAACTACTGCAGGAATCAGGTGCTGAAGAATGGTAAAAGGTGGTTCAGGGGCTTATTTTTCAGGAAAGTACAGGAAAGCTTTTATTTCTAAGTGCGTGACCCTGCAAAGTACACTGTGGTTTCATCTAGAAAGCATGTGAGTATACGTATGTAGTCCCTCTGGCATCAGGATTTGTGTGGGAGACCTGTGGTTTTTCAGTAGGTGGTGTACTACCCTGTTCTAGCAGAGAACAAGGAGAAATGTATTGTGGAAGGTGCCATCTGCCAAATGTGATGCAATGGAATGAATTCAGGGGTTTTATTAAGCATGTGCTTAAGCTTCTTTGCTGGAGGCAGGGCCAACATGGTCAGTCTCTTATAGGCTGCAAAGTGACCAGAACCAGAAACTTTCACTTAATCTGAAAAACAACAGTAAATCAGCTTCTAATATTTAGTTTTCTTACAGGCTGCATAAAATAATCTCTTTGAGAATTTATATATGTAAACAAAAAATTCCAAGTCTAACTACGCTACTTGGACTATATGACTCTTGCCGTATTTTGTTAATATGTGCAAATTGAAGGGGATATAATAGCTGAAATTGACCTTCACCATGTAGTCGTGGTTGTGACAGAAATGCATTTTCTGTAATTACAGTGTATCTAGTTATTTTGTCTCTACATAAAGGTAATTGGGTCTAATACTGGCATTAGGTGTAACGTTTTAAAAGCTTGAAGGTTGTAGTAAAGCACTTGGTGAATTTTCCTCTTTATATTGATACAAAAAAAGTCTTAATAGCTAGGGGTTCTAGGTCATAGGCTTATGCTTTGCTACATGCAGATTATAAATAATTTTAAACATTTTTCTCATCTATGCCAGGACTGGAATTCTAACTGCAATTTTTGTTTGTCTCTCTAATCCTATGAATTTACGGGTCCTATCTGCAAAGGAGGGACTGATTCACCTGTTAAGCCAAAATTGCTTCTACCTTTTGGTCTCAGAAAATGCCGAAATAAAAAGATGTGATGAAAAATTACTTTAACTTAGCCTTTAACAACTTTAACATAGTCTCAAATTCTAGTAATAATGTAATTTATAATTAATTAACTTGGATATCTGATAAAGCAGTATCCTTAAGTAAATATTCCAAAATGTATTGATACATAAGAAACATAATATAGGTACTAACAAATTATATAAGAAAGAGTTAGTTACATAATTTTAATAGCATTTTACCATGGTATTATTCTGAAAAAGGCAACAAAGAAGAGTAAAAAAATTCCAATGCAATATTGGGCCCTTTTGTACATTTCCAGAAAGAAGTGATGACTGAGGGTGGCTGCATTTTCCTAAATTTAGGAGGAGTGACAATCTTGTATGGCATTTCTTATTGCGTATGTCTACCTTTCTTTGAGGCCTAAACAATAAACTGTTTCTTGGGATATATTGTTTTACTTTACATCGGTTGTTGTTAATTCCTGGGGATAATTAGTTTTAAAATATTACAAATGTACATAATGAAGACTGTTGCAACTCTGAGAGACATCCTGAATAGGAAAAAAACTAAAAGGCCTAGAGTGGAGATACGTTTTTTTTGTCCTTTATTGCTTTTTTGCGATAAAGAGTTTTGTAAAAATACAGTAACAATTCAAAGGCTCAAATCTGTTTTCCCTGAAGTCTGCTTGTAAAATGCTGTTGATACCTGTAGACGCAAGAGCAGTTCCTTTGTAAGCAATTTTTTGGTTAAATTGATCCTGCTCTGCAAGCTTGTCTTTCTTATCTACAGTAGTATTAAAATGTTTGCAATAAAATTTGAGTTGTTTGTAATATTTTACAGTCATTTCACTAGATTTTGCTTGGTGGAATTAAATCTTAATTTTTTTTTCAATCAATGTCTTGTTTGTTATCCTGTCTATTCTGTTTCTGTTTGGGGAGTTTGTTGATTTTTTTTACTACTGTGATTAATTCTTTTCATACTAGGAGCCTTTATTGAGTTGCAGCACTTTCCACGAAACAGTCAGCATTTGTCAGAAATCATCCTGGGGCAAGTTGTGGTTCTTAACACATTCTGATAATGAAGAATACTCAGTGCTGGTGTTGATAATCCAGACCAATTAGCTGTTAAAGGCAACAGAATTCCAGGACAAGGCTTTGAGAGAGAAAGGGACTTTGTGCACACTCAGAAGTATATGAGTTTCTTACCTAGCAGTGGGTATGTTTGCAGCTCTCCTTCTTGCAAAGGTCCAGTCATCTTGCTTCCCTCACACAATTAAAAAAAAAAATCCCAAGAAATAGCTGCACAGGGAGTAACCATTGTGAAGCACAGTGGATTCTTTCACAGCTGTGTACCTGCGCACAGAAGCTGAGATCTAAGTTAAGCCTTTACCAGTACACCACATACACACCTGCAGTATTTACCTGATGTCAACAACAGCAGTACCACAGTTCCTCATAGTGAGATGGGTAGTTTATTTTGTCATTTTTAGAGAAAAGTAGTGGTGATAACATGAACCTCTGGGAGGAAGAGTAGCTATTGTATCCATGGTGTGACAAATAACTGTCTTGATGGTGTGTAGTGTTGTGTTTTCCATTTTTTTGTCCTTGGCAGTCCTGACCACTTCGTAACTGTGGGATGCACAGTGCCCCCAGGTCTGTGCAAGGGGAGTTGAAGGCAGACAGAAAAGACAAAGGTAGGACATTGAGAGCATTCTACTGCTGTTCAGCCCTGTACCCAGGCAGATGCTGAGGGAAAGGACGCAAGATATCCATTGGATTAGTCGGGGTTAGAGCTGGAGCAAGACAACAAGCTCTTTTTAGAGATACACTTTATTTAGCAGAAAGTGCTAAGACAAACAGTAATAGCAGACAGTGTGGTGGATTTAAAACTGGCTAAAAGTTGCAGAGAACAAAACTGGGAGAAGTGGCTGGTACACCAGAGGGTTGTGCTGCCATCCAGTGTGACCTTGACAAGCTGGAGAAACAGGCTGAAAGGAATCCCATGCAGTTCAACAAGGAGAAGTCTTGCACCTGGAAACAGCCTTATGCCCCAGTAAACGCTGGAGTCACCAAGTGGGAAAGCAGCTCTGTAGAAAAAAATGTGGGGGTCCTGGTGGACACTGAGTTGAATATGAATCAGCAGTCCACACTTGCATTAAGAAGGCTAATGGTATTGTGGGCTGCATTAGGTGCAGTGTGGCCAGCAGATCAAGGGAGGTGACCCTTCCCCTCTGCTTGACACTGGTGAGTCCACATGTGGAGTCTTACGTGCAGTTCTGCACTCCCCTGAGATACAGAGCTACTAGAGTGAGTCCAGCAGAGGCCCACTAAGATGATTAAGGGACTCGTGTGTCCCTTGTATGAGTGATTATGTGAAGTGATCACACAAAACTTACCAGGTTGAGGACTAGAAAAAGAGGATCCTTCAATAATGGGCAAATAAACCAGAAAGTTCTGAGTAGAACATCATGGTTTCCCTTGATAACACAAGGCAGTACAATGCTGGAAGAACTTGGCCCACATTTATATCCATGTCTGTTCTTTTCTGTACATACCTGTAACTCTCTATCTGGAACTATTCGCTGTTGGTTTTGTTTCCTCTCACTGATGTCTTGCATCAGTACAACCAATCTCAATTTGGGTACCAGTTCAAAATTTAAGGTGTTATCTTGCCTCTTACTCATTGAAATCTGTGGTTGTTGCAGTCCTCTAATGGCAAACTTCAGAAGAGTACCAAGGAAATGATCAAAATAAATTTAGTATGAGTCATCTTGCTGTCAGAAAGAGTCAGAATTTATTATTTAAACTTTTTACTATTGTTTATATTTTAAAGTC